TGGGTTGTTGGCCCGCCGGATGGGCTGCCGAGGGTGTCGGCGGACGTGGAGGGGGGCACTCGTCACTCCGACGTGACGGCCGCAGAACTCGCTTCGTACTCCATCGCCTGCTCAGCTAACCCGTCGACGTCGTTGCTGCTGTTGCTGCGAGGGGGTTGGTGGCTGCCGCGATGGTTCTCGATGTGGTCGATGCTTTTCCTGCTGACTCTGTTCCGTTGTTCCGCCGGAATTCTCTGAATGTCGATGTTATTAGTGTGGATTGATGCTGGCGGTTCTCGATAGGGGTTCTGGGACCTTGATGTCGGGGCTGTTGGGATTTAAGAGGATGTCGGTCCAAGTATGAGCTTCTTTGGACGTTTGCCGGATTTCGGATGGTTCCTTTTGCGATTTTATTTGGCTGTTGTTTCAACCCTTTGCGGTCGAAGTGACTGTAACTCTGAATCCAAGGGGATTGTTTTCCTGGTGTTTCCAAGATGCTTCCATTTTGGATTGTCTAAGTGCACTTTATGCACTTGAAACTGAGTCTTGCAGCACGCAGAACAGTTTTTTAACACTGATTTCGCATGATTTAATTTAAATTTATTCGAATTTCCAGGAGTCACTCGTAGGAACGGGTTGAACGCGGCTTCTCATTTCGAGCATAGAATATAATAAAAATGACGAAATATCTCGATACATTCAGCCCTGTCATTCTTATAATTTTTATATAAATAATATAACACGCGTCAGCCACTTTTAGAACTTGATAGGATTTAGTGACAAGTATAAACAAGTATGGTAACGTATAAAATGATTTTGGAGCGTGATATAACAATTTTTAGTGCAGCCATTCGATTGCAAAGGTTTAAAAAACACGAGGTAAAAGATGAAAGAAGAAGAAAGAAGTGAATATGACATCTTCCAAGGCCTGTCTCCAAGTTATCTCTCCTTCTTCGAAGTTTCCTTTCCCCAGGATCTCGTTCAGGATCTCCTTCTGCGTCTGCTTCAAGGTCTCCTTCGTGGCGCGTTAAAAAATGAATCTCAAAAAGTAGCCAGCTCGCGAAGCCTCCGCGAAGTCCAACCATTCCGAAACGTCGTTCATCGAGCCCAGGGCCGGATACTGTCTAAAACAAAAACGCGGACGGAATAGTTTGCCGTCGGCTGCGGTGGGAATCGTGCGGATAAAAGGCAGAAGGAGGCGAGCTAGATATCAATCACGCGGACCGGTGACGGGCTGAGATTTGGCAGCAGCTTCGGAACGCGTGGCGGCGGGCGGGGGGGGGGGCGCGGCCCCGCAAACAACTGCGTCCATTCTATCGTCATTTTTCTAAGAAACCCTCTCGCTATATTGATTCACGAGTTATCGAAGTGTCAACGCCGGCTCCCATTGTCGCTGCCCGGTCCCTGCGCTTGCTGTCGCGTCTCGATGAAACCTGTCAAGCTATCCGCGGCGCTTCTTGTCACCGCTTTCCAGGGACACCGGAATCTTGGCACCGAATCTAAATGGCCCACACCACCGGGAAACCGTGGGACACCGTGTCTCCGGCTTTGATTGATCTCTATTTTCTTTCCCGGGCTCCTCGCGTTTCGATTTAGTCCGCACCAGAGTCAACAGGATGACGGCCCCGTTTCCGATGCGGCTCGCCTTCGAATCCGATCGCGTTGTGAAACACCTTCGACAGCGCCCCGACAGCCTTTGAATCTTCGAACTTCGCGTGCACTTCGAAATCTGCAGCGTTCGCAGTTTCCAGTCTTTCGTCTACGACTCGGCAAGTTCGGTCAAATTCCGCTACTTATTTGTCGATGTAATTGGTGCTAGGGCTCTAACTTTTTAGCTACCAGAAGCTAGATACGTGTCTCTCGATTTTTTAGGACCACGAAGCAACGCTAGACGAACTAGCGAAGTTCAGTTTTTTGGAGACAGAGTTCGCGGAATATTTTTCTGGAGAAGCGAGATTCTAAATTTATGCCGGCGAAATTCAAAGGGAGGCGGAACACGAGCGTGCCGCGTCGCGATGTGTGGGTTCAGTCAGCGTCAGCTTCAATGAGGAAGAAACCGGTGCTTCTCCTCTGACCAGTGTCAGTTACATGTTCTAGAATACCGGCCCCATGGGAGCACGAAGGTAAGACTTCAGGCCGGCGCAAACCGTGGGTGTCAGGATGACTGAAAACGTGATGTGACACGTGCGCGTGTTTAGGTCGACGAGCGTTGTTATGAGATTGCGTAACCCTGAGCCGTGCACCGTGTACCCGCCGGCTATATAAAACCTGCGGATGTGTTTGAAAAAACGGACAATGCCGGTGCTCGAGTGGTAGCGGAGCTGCTGGACAAGGTATCCGATGGTGAAACCGCTGCTCTGTTTCAGAGTTAGCTGCATTAGATTTTATAGTTGAATTTGGTTAACTATGTATATTATGTTTTCAAGTCTCGTTAAAATTCCAGAAACGTAATATAAAAGCACGGTAAATTAATTTTTACGCGCCTAACACCGGAATACTGTTATCGCTGAAGTTTGTGCAAAATTTGCAGAATTATTGCTAGGCTAATTTGAGAGTAGAAATTAAAAAGCTGGCAATTTCGAAGCTGGAACTGGTGTAGCATTTTTTAAAGTTAGTTGGCGATGATTAAAATGCTTCGCGTGGCCAGTATTTCAATTTTAGCGTCAGTTAGGGGGATGACGGCGAAGGGGTGGTTGCCGAAAAACCAGAAATTCCGCCATCTGGAAACAAGTGCCAGCAGATTCTTGGAAGACGGCTAGCTATGCCGATAATAGATCATTTTCATCGTGTTCTGCAGTATCGAGTGATGAAAGGCTTGAGAGATTTCGACGAAGTGCTAGGAGATGGCGTGTTGGTCGTTGTACAGCCATCATGAATCAAATTATGTCAAGGAGGGAGTGGGGGTTGACGAGAGGTGGGCCTATCTGGTTAAGCCTACCACTCGAAGGGTGGAGTCTGCCACGAATGACCTCTACGACCACCTGGATCTGCCGCATTGGCGTAGGAATGTATGATGAATCATGTCTGAATTAGATAGCTGGATTTTACGAGATTTTTGCCAGTCGATGTACATTTTTTAATGTAAAAATAAAATACAATAATCTGAAGAATATACATTGTTGCAAAGGGGTGGATTTTGTTTAAAAATTTTACGAAGCTAGGATAAATAGCATCGGTCTAATTAAAAATAGTATGAAACTACGCAAATTTTATGCAATAGAGATCTGTGCGATTGTTTGCAACATTCCGAATACATTGCCAAAATCAATATAACGCAATTTTATTCGAACTTTCCCTTTCTGAAACGAACCATCTGGTGTCTCCTCCTGGAACCTCTCCGAAACCCAACCGGTTGGTAAAGTCATGAATGAAAGCTGCTTCACACACAAATATTCTTTTCTAAACATCGAGAGTTATCTTAGAGGAACTAGTTTGCAATTAAAATTATGCATAATTTTACTTGTGCGATCATAGTGTCTGTACCGTTGATTTTTCTCTGCAATATTTTTTTCTACCAACGAAAGGTAAGGAACTTCCTACGTGGCTGGCTGATGGTACCTCACGAATCTACTGGCAGTTGGTAACACGCTTTATTTACAATTTCAACAATTGCTAATAATTTTTATTTTTACTTTCTAATTAATTCTTTCCTTCATCTTTTGTCTTCTATTCTAATTTTCTAATATTATTAAATACAGTTTATTCGTTGTTCTACTTTAAAATCGTGCAAGGTAAACAATTTTTTAATAGAAAGATATTGAAATTGTATTTTGTAAAACTGTGACAATTTGCCACAGATTCGCTGTTTAAACCAGATGAAAATATCTGTCGAGAAGGAACTCCTTAGACGTCTAGACTTCAGGACCGAGAAAGCGAGTGGGCGACGCGGTTATCGCAACGGAATATCTTGCGCCATGATCAATGACTACTATCCGTGACTATGCAGTCTTCGGAGGCTGTCTATCCGAATACGTCGACAGGCTCAAGGTCACGGTCAATATCACGAACAAGATATTGCCAGGAGGAATGCGGAATATAAATAGGCTCGGGATACCGCAATCTATGCGCTGCCATTGATCAGCATGCAGATGACTTTAAAATAAGACCTCGTCGAATAGACTTTTTCTGCTCGATGCGACCACTTATCGCTTGTGATTTGTCATTTCTCCGCGAGCATGAGCCTCCCTCGTCCGCACGGAATAAGTAAAAAACGAACTAGATTGCCGCGCTTTCTGCGACAGCTGGACTCTTTTTTGTTTACGAATTTAAAGAAAAAAAAACAACTAAGAAAGCAAAACGTTCAACGGAACGTGATCGATCACATTTTAATCTTTCTTCATTATACCGTCGTATTAATTTCGTACCACGGAGTTAATTTGACAATACAAGGAGAAATTAAATCAGCAAGATCAGAAATTCTTGTTAGAATGATTAAAATCGTAAAGCAGTTTGAATTTTATTGAATAAACTCTCGTAATGACAGTGCTATAAAATTATGTTGACATTTAACTGAAAAAAGGAAGCATTTTAAATATACATAACGAATGATAAAAAAAATGAAGAATGCCAGAATACGCTAATTAATGCCGCTAGTAAATTTCTATACGCAGAAGAAAAATATTTATTGCGTGCCAAGGTTGTGCAATGTTACGTAATGTTTAAATATCGATAATCGGAGAGCAGGACTGTATCTCGATCTGGAAAAAAGCAGTTAACATTCCGAATTTGTTAAAAAATAAACCAGATTTCCTGGTAAAAGTTTCTTAACACATTTTCCAACACACAGAACAATTTACTCAGATTTAAAAACGAATTGTTACATTTTCCAAATCGTACGAAGACACGCAATCAACCGTGATCACATTGAAAAGGCATCTTCAAATTTTTCTTTGGCTAAATAAATTGCCCCATTCTCGCAAAACTTCAGAGGCCGTCGCGGCAGTCGAACTTGTTAAACAGCGAACGGCAATTTTTTCCAGCGGCGGCGCGCGTTACCATAATTTCGACATGCCCGTGGTGGCCGACGGTCAAAGAATGTCGGGCACCGCGTCTCGGCCAGAAAAATGAAATTCCTGCGCAGTTTCGCGGCCGCCTAATATCATTTCGGCGGAGCTGGGTCGAAGAGTGGTGGAAATAACTGTCACCGAAGACAATTTATGTTAATGACTGTTCCTGGGCCGTTCCTGGTGGAGGGACGCGGCCGGACCTCGGCACAGTCTGCAGGTCTCCGTGGAGCCGATCGGACACGCAACTGCCTGCTCTTCTTTCCGCGCCGGGATTCCCCCACCACGAGCCCCTGCCACCCTACCGGAGGTTTCAACCCTGCGATGGCGACGCCCAGCGTCGATCCGGCCGTGTTTCTGCTCCTCCACCACGCAAACTCGGCGTCGGCATCCTATGGCGTCCCTGCGTGCCCGTGGAAAAGCGTCGCGAGCCGTGTCCGCCCGAAAAACACCCTTGCAACGGCCACGAAGCAAACGTCGAGAGCTGCACTGTGGAACCCGAAAATCGCCAGTCAAGTGAGTTCATCTAATCGAAAAACGACCCGGACCGTTGACGAAGCGTTTGCTCCTCGATTTGGCGGGTCTAGAGGGACGCGCAGGGACGCAGAATCACCGTAGTGTCCTTCGCCGAGCTTTGGAGCAGAACGTCGGAGAGAACGAAGGACCAGTTTCGACCTGTAAATCGGTTTGCCAGGTCTGCGAAAATGCCAGTGGACAGTGGTGATTATGAAAGAGAGCTCCGCCTTCGTCCTCGTCGTTGAGAAGCGATTTTTGCTCGAGACGACGTCGATCGGATGCTGCCAGGGTACGTTGAATCGACGATTGGAAGATCCGTGTGGACGGAGACTTGCCGCGGATGGTTTGACGGTTGGTTAATTTGCAGAATTTGTTTGGGGACACGGTGGATGGTCGTGTCCTGCGTCGATGTTAATGTACGTTTTCAACCCCCAGAGCGCAGACTCGTCGGGAATCCATTGCTATCATCTCGCGACGGAGGGGTGGAACGGTGGTGATGAAAGCTCTGTCGCGATCTCTGCCAAACGAATCCTCGACGCATTTCAAAATACCCGACGCCAGATGGTTTCTGCGAGCGTGAGTATGAGTTCATAGTTGCGTAGACTATATTTAGGCCATTGATGAGTCGCGGTGTGTGTCTGCTGGCTTCGTTTAAATGTTTTGAATGACTCCGTCCGACCGTCCCGTCGTTGCGAATATACATATTTCGGTGTACGTTCTGTGCACGAAAACCGTGACATTTTCCATTATCTTCGCAGCGAATTCCTGCGATCGCCATCTTATCGTTTAAAATCGTCGTTGACGTAATCGCGTGTTTCATCGAACCGAACCCGAAGATTCCTAATTTCGTTGATATTATCAGAAAACGTTGGCTCTATCGATTGAAGTAATTCCTTTCGAAAGTCGCGATAACGATTAGAAATCGTTAATTGCAGTTCCGATCAGTATTTCGTGCATATTTCCGAAAGTCGACCGACGAAACCGTTTGGTAGGCCAGATTGCAGTCTTACGAAATCATCTTTCTTCCATGGAAAAATGTGTTTCCGCGAACCGTCGGATCGGTTCTTGCGTCGGATTGATCAAGAAGAAAAGAAAAAGATGGGAGATTAACGTCTGCCCTGGTTGGCCCGTTTTGAATGCGTACAGTGGCGCCAGCGTTGGCGAATTTTTGGAGCTGTTTCGGCCAGCATCTCGGAATCTGGCGGGACAGCGATCGATTTTCGCCGTCCTCCTCTCTCACGGCACAGTTTCGTCGTCTCTCTCGGTTTCGCATCCGCTGGAAAAAGCGGCTGCCGATTGCTCTTGCACTAATTAGTCCGCGCGCGTTTTCTTCGTTTCCTCCATTTTCAGCTTGCTCGCTTTTACGGCGGCCCATCGATTTAACTCGGATCAATTGCAATAACGTATTTTATAATCTAGAGAGATTGGAGATCGTGCTTCGTGTCCTTTATTCGACGTTGGATTTACGGAGCAGCAAAAGCAGCTGTCGCATGTTGCTTTATGAAAATAACAAGCATAGATTTATTTCGATCTCTTAACAAGATTTTTATTGCAATGTATGTTCTATGGAACCTAGCAAATAAATTCTCCATAAATCTTTTTAATCTCAATGATCGTAAGTTAAAAACTTTTTGAGCCCGTCCCCGAATGACGCGTTACGCGAAGCTGGTGTTAATTAAAAGAAACTTAGGCTTTCTTTTGAAGAAAATTTTAACCACCGCGTCGTAGTCGTATACTTCTCGCTTCAACGATTATAGCCGTACTTCTATCTTTATCGCCATAATTTCCAGTCCTACGTAGCATCGGACAGAAGTGATTCAGAAGTCTAATATTATCCCTGATTCCCCGAAGAATTAAATCATAATGGCCCTTGGACGTTGCGAAGCCCACAACCGCCGCCATTATCATTATCACTGGCCTCCTCGGAGCCCTGAATAAATTCACAGCCGTCCCCGTTTCGGCAACTGTTTTCGAAACTGGACTTAAACTGCTAGAAACACTCGTAACGGCCCTGCTCGTTGCCATTACGTTCTAGGTCGCCGGCAATTTTGCAAGAATTTAAAGTCGCGATTGCCAAGACCGTTTTTTTTTTTGGAAAGATTCGTCCCACTGTCCCCTGGCCGTTGTTATAAAATCGACGGCTGTTAAAGCGTAACGACGCTTTCAGGAGAGTGCCGTTCCCATCGAGTCAGTGGCCAATAGACTCTCCATTCAGCCGCCAGTCTTTCGGTCGGTTTAGGAAGGCGACAGTGCACGGTGAACGTGTGTGCACGAGGGCAAACCGGCTATGACTCCAATCAAGGACTCAGTTGGTCCACATTCCACGTCTAGCCTTTCGATCCCTAAACTCGCAGGCACGTCCGACCTGATGGTCCATTTTCGTTATGGCCCGATAGCTCCCTCGATTTCTAGTCCCGCCGAAGAATCCCTTCCAGGATTTCGTTCGTCCGTCCGAGCTTTTCTGAAAGCGGTACGTGCTTCGTCGAGCCACCTGCAGTCCTCCCAGATTTTTACAGGCTCCTACAAAATTCGTGGTCCGCGGTTTATTTAACAATTAGCAACATCATCATCATCGGACAGCTTCGGTTTGCTCTGAACATTTTTTACTTGGATCTTCTTCTCCGTAAAAACTTTTCTAAAAATATTTGAGCACTTTTAAATACTTCGGAGAAGTCTGAAACGTATACAGGCTGTTCCAAAATTGATTGTCCATCGCTCAACTAACGAATAATTTAATTATCATCGTATTAATACATGGTCTAGTCTTTTCTGAAACGATTTCTGATAACTCGAAGTCGTCTAGCATTTGTTCAGAGTGTTTTAAACTCGGCGAACCATAGTTTAATTCCCAAATAAATAAATCGACGCACGAGGACCATTAACGAGCAACAAAGTCGTTTCGTTTCATTTAACAGCTTCTCTAAGAATGCTCTCGCAGCTAAACGAATAATGTTAAACATTGTTCCGAAGTACGCGAAGAAGTTATACAAGGTCGTAAAAAGGAGGGGACGATCATTTTTCAAAGCACGGCCGTCTCAATTTCGTTTGGAAGGCCGGTCTATCGACGCCGGGGAATCGACACGCGAAACACGCGTCGTTTGTCCATCGTGTTATTAGTTAAAACATATCGACAGGCGGCGTGAATCGACACCTGAATGAACAAGAAGCGGCATGACGCGACAAACCGTCAGGTGATCGATGTTGTTGTCCTCCGCCGCTTCAAAGAATACACCCGGGCCCCGTGATTTTTGGACATTACAAGCATCACTCACGATCTTTTAGCGTGTTTATTTGTTAGGCGTGCCGGTTTTGACACGGAATGACTCCATTCACGATCGGCTGCTCGCCGATCTTCCCACTCGGCGATGTTTATGCGAATCGCGGGGGTGGTGGTGCCGGTCGAATCGAGTCCTTAAAATTACCTCGGCGCCCTAATGTTGCATTCTGTGCGTCATTGATTGCGCGACAGATGCAATCAAGCGTCTGGTAAAACGAAGAGGACTGGAGAAAAACAGTGTCGGAAAGTAATGTTTTATAGTTCGTATAACATTGAAAAATGTGTTTACTGTTTTTAATGTACTGCTGTAACGCGTACGATTTATTCCTAAAACGTTTGATTTCTTTAAATCGCGAAATTCTAAACAGCTGAACTGCGCGCGGAATAACAATTGCTTACATCATTTTCTAGAAACTGAAACCGAACCCCTTCTCTCGCCTCCCTTGATACTTCGAATTATCCGAAACTAGCACGTCGACAGTATTTAAAAATGTACTTTTCGAATGGCACATTTTTGTCGCAAATGCACAAAATCCACGATCTACTTTCGATTTCGAACTGGCCGATTTCTAAACGCGACCGACGCGCGTTATTTCGTAACGATGACAAGACTGAATTTATTTAAACTTCGCACGATTATTATCATTCAGTAATCGTAGATTTTGAGATTCAATCGCGTCCCGTAAAGATGCGCTTGCAATTTCAATCGGAATTCGCGAAGCGAGAAATTCCGTGAAACGACGCGATGGTTAAAACGTTGAAAAACGTCGAATTTCGCGAGGACGGTGTTAAAGCGGAGCACGTTGCGCGAGAGCGAAGATAAAAGTTTATTCCCCGTGAAATTTAAATTACCTCCTCAGAGAGGACTCTAGTAATATCTGGGTTAATTGCCGGGAGGGAATTTCAAGAAAGAGAGCAGTCGTTGTGTTGCTGCCGCTCGAGGAGCGCCGATACATAAATTCCGAAGTTGGTTTCCATCGCGTGAAGACTATCTCGGAAGCTCTATCTAGCTTTTAATTAATTCCGAAAGGCTGACGGATAAAAAGCGAGATTATTTTCGAAAGCCTGGCACACCTCCGAGCTTGTCGCGTCGATATAAACGAAACACCGGGCAGCAATACGACCGGCGCGAAGCCGTTGCCGTTTTCTATTTAATGTTTGTTGCCTGCGAGTTGATAACTGTTTCGTTATTCGAGAGCAATGGGCCGAGAGTCTCCGACGTCGGGGATCTCCTCTCTCTGTAACGCCTCGTTCTTCTGCTCTGTCTCTTCGTTTTTTTTTCCCCCGTTTTCGTGCCGTCGAAGAGAGGAGCGTGGGCGTGATGCAGATTCGACGAAAGTTAAACCGAGCCCGGTTAAATTCATTGAAAACCCACGGCAAGCTCGTCCGCGCCGTTAAAACGCTTAACGATCCGTTTGGGCAAAAGATCGCGTGACGGCTCGCTGATTTCTGCTATCGTAATCGAAATCCGACGGAAGGAAACGGAACACGAGTTTCTTTCCCTTTGCTCGACTCCTTTCAGCTGCCAGCAGCAGGTCGCAACAAAACAATGTAACGAGAATCGTGCAACTTCCAACGGCTCCGAGATATCGAAACGATTCCCGTTCGTCCACCGCTTTTCAGCAGTTGAAACGTTCGTTTGCTTAGACCTGCGGCATTTCGTGCACGATCGTCGGAGACCCGAAAGTGCTTCTGTGGACATTTATGCTCTCTTCGATCGAGCTCGTAGAGCAGAATAAAAATTCTTTGAAATTGCGGTTTTTGTCTTCTCGCGAACGATAACTCCAAAAGCAATCGGGTAAGATTGCCAGAAGAAATTCAGCAAAACTGCCACAACAGATGGAGCACAGTTGGGAAAATAAATCGAATAAAATTGTTGATAGAAATTCGATAAAACTTGCCGAAAGAAATTGCGTAGAATCGTCGATAAAAATTGAGTGATCGCGAGAAACAAAATGGAGTAAAATTGTCAGAAGAAATGAAATAAAATTGCCAGAAGATAATGAACAAAATTGAAGAGATTCAAGATCGAAGAAGATCGAACAGAATTGTCTACAGAAATTGCGTGAACTTGCGAAAGAAATCGCAAAAAAATAAAGAACACAAAATCGTCGATGGACGCGCGAGGAAAATCGCTGTCGAGAAATTCAACGGAATAATTTTCAGCAGTGCATTAGCTTGTCGAGGACGCAGAAGAAGAATTGAAAAACGACGCCGGAATGGTTCGCGTGCAGTGCAAACATGCATATTTGTGCAGGTTTTTCTAACAAAACTGGGTTTCCCGGTTATTAGAGCCACACGTTCACGGAGTTGCACTAATTTTCCCGGCGTTTCCGCGCAGTTCCAGGACGCCCGACGCCGAAAAATTAAAGCGTCGCTGTCGTAAATTAACACGTTTCCGCGAGAAGTGACGTCACGCGGCGCAATTCGACCATGGGAGTCGCAACGAGGTCTCGTTACTCTTTTATAGTCCACCATATGGGCGCGAGTCGATTCCCACCACTGACACCGATACGTTGCGTGCCAGAGGCGAATAACATTTTTTATACATGCCCGCGCAACAGATTCGACGTACCGAATTCTGCGCGGAGAGTACCCTTTCCTCTCATTTTCGCGAATCTAGCTGAACCATTTCTTGCGGTAGAATTTTAATTAAACATAAACCGTTGACGCAATCGTCGGATATAAATGCGTGTTGCCAGGTACAGTCCGAGGGCTTATTTATTCATAAGTATGCGTGCCGCGGTGCATGTTAAATATTATTGCGACCCCGTTTTTCTTTTCGCACATTGCGCTATGGGGCGCTTCCGGAATTTTTAATTTTTGGCGCAGTGCAGACGGTATGCTATTAGTTTTGTAAATTACATTGCCGGCGTTACTACATCTTTTTTTACATTTGTACAAAGTAGTGTCGATTCGGGTATGTTTCCTGTCGTTTTACAATTATTTTACAACGATTTTACAAGTAGAATCTTGTCTAGCGAATTTTGGAGTTTAAATATTCTTCCTCGAGAAGCCCAAAATGCTGGCCATTTAGCTACATTTCTTTTTATTGCACAGCACTTTTATGACGACGGCACGACGGCGAATTTTCGTCCGCAGGATTTCAGCCGTAGGTACTCGAAACACAAAGTTTTCCTCGAACCTCGCAAGCGGACGGGAACGATTAGAAACTGTTAGAGGCTCCCCCGTTAAAATGCAAAGTTAACGGACCGCCGAGAATTTTCTCGGAACCCCGCGTCCGGTTTTACGGAGTTAGTTTTATTGCGGCAATATAGCGGGGATCCTCGCTGTTGTACTATTGTTCAACTTTTTCCTCGGCCGGCTCCGGAGGCCAGGTATGGTCCCCGGCAAGCTAATAGGGACAGAAAACGATGGCGGACGATCGACCTTCGATTTACCGGCTTCGCCTGCCGCGTGCTTCCAAATTCTGGAAATTCTACCTACAAAACGTTCGCTCGTGCTCTGTGCCATTTCCCACTCGACGCTTCTAGCTCATTTGCAATTGCGTTAAATGTTTATCTTCACTTTTTTCTTTCATCTACAATCGTTATTACTTAAATCGTACAATCGAGCTTTCTTATAATTTCAATTGCATTTAGATAAACGATGAAATTTTTGGAGAATATTCTGTACAGAAATTGGTGGAAGATCGTCGTCGAAATGGTCAAGAGCATTGTACCGAGGTTAAAAAGTACTTGATTCGTTGTTTTATTATATTTAAATCATGCTTCATATTAAATAATTTTATATGTAATATTATATGTATATAATTATAAATATAATATTTTATCTGTAATATTATATATATACAATTATAAATATAATATTTTATCTGTAATATTATATATATATATATACAATTATAAATATAACATTTTATCTGTAATATTATAAGACATTTTATATGTCAAGGTTAAACAATTTTATATATGATAATTTTAAACGCACATGTACACTCTTGATTATATTTTTAGAATCACGCTTCATAACCTGGTTTCATCCGTTTAACCGAATGTTCGAAGTGTAAACAGATACTCGACTGTATTTTGAATAAATTCATACAAAATTCTAACCTTAATTAAATCAACAAAATAAATTCTCCTTAGACCGTTCAATTAAGCGTATTTCTGGATCCTCTATTCAGTCCCTCGATGCAATTCAAAAGAAATATATTCTACAACTGTGTGAAAGGTAATAAACGTAACGAGTTAAGTGCGAGAGCCACAATTAGTCGACCAGTTTGTCCAGCTTGCCGTTCCGCGCGTCGCATAAAAATCCCGAGGTAAATAATTCTCTCCTGAACGAACGCCGCTCCGAATGCCGTCGCTGGAAAAGCTCGGGAACAGCGGCACCAATCACCGTAACACGTGTCGCCGGGGTCGGTTCCCTCTATCTTGAGCAGCCGACCCCATCGGCCGATCATCCCCATACCGAAGGGTGGTTATCAGCTCGAATTCCGGCGAGTTTCGAAAAATCGCGGTCCGGCCGGGCCGGTTTATTGTCGTGGAATAATAGCCGCGGGAGTTCCCCACGGATGCTGAGCCCTCGCGTGGATCTCATTTCAGGATCGTATAAAATGGTGGTGGTGGTGGTGGTGGCGGTGGCGGCGGCCTGTGTCGAGGGGAGACGTGGAAGAAGAGAGGATGAGGAGGAGGAGGAGGAGGAGGCTATGAGGGGTCAGGGAAACGGGAACAGAGGGAGCGAGGAAGACGGGACCCGAGGGGAGAAGAATGGCGAGGACAGAAGGCGCTGGGGCCCCCGGGATGGAGAGAGACAAAAGAGAGAAAGAGATACGCCGGCTGGCGAGCAGATGGTTGCGCCGTTTATTGGTTTATTCGTCGGTTCAGCCATCACGTCCCGTCCAGCCATCCGACCAGCCGGTGGACTCTTTGTGTTGTTACCGAGGACCGACACCGAGGACTCTTCTCTTATCTGCTCCGAGGAGGACTGATAGCACGCTGCTGAAGGGGTCGCGACCCGGTACCGATCCTGCAATCCCGCAGACCGTGGCACGACGAACATCTCGAATGTATGGTGATCTCACGCCGGTCTATACGCCGCCAGTTTTTATTGTTCTTCTTTCGGGCCGGGCAGCCGAGAAGCTCCATTTTTATTTGCTTCTCGTCTGGGAGGCTCGTCAGGGTTTGTTGTGAACGCTATCGTGGTTCTTCGAGTTTGTTCTTTAGTACGGACATTTTTATTCTCGAGCCTCTCGACGGAGATGCTCGTGCTCCGAGGAAAATCGTAGAGGATTTTGATCTCTGTACTCTGGAAAGATTGTACCCGGTATATTGTGAGCTTTTATGGTGGTTTCAAACTGTACTTCGCTGCAAACGTTTTCGTTCTTGTGATTCTTCACGGAGCTGTTCTCGTTTCGAGCAGGATTGTAGGGGACTTTGATTTCTACTCGATTCTGTACTCCGGGAATATTGTACGATTATGTATACTGAGAGCTTATGGTCGTTTGAACTTGCACGAGGCTCCAGAAATTTTCATTGTTGTGATCCTTAGTTTTACTTGGTTCTAGATTCTGGAAGAATTGTACAAGTATGTAGTGATTTATCTCCGATAATTTCTATTTCAGTGATTCTTGTTGTAGTTCTTTTTGTTTCATGAAAAATGGCAGGGATTCCGAGTGCTATTCGGTTCTGTGTGTTGAAAGATTTATTTAAGTAGCTACTGCTCTTATAATAGCTTTGAGAATTGATCTATACTCTGGATATTTTTATTACTGAGACTCTAAGTCTGGTTTTTGGAGTTTGACAAAAAGAAATAATTTTTATTCTCGTATTCTTATTATTTTGGAATAACTGATCGAGGTTATTTTATTTTAGAATAATTCTATGTGTTAGAAAATTTATTCAATAGAACTTATGGTAGTCTTATTGTTATAATCAGTTTAATATTATAGTATATATTATAGTTAACCTATAATTATGTTTAAATAATTCTATGTGTTAGAAAGTTTATTCAATAGAACTTATGGTAGTCTCCAATTTATGATAGTCTTGTACTTTACACTAAAAATTATTATTCCACTGATTTCAACTGCAGTTCTTATTATCACAATTTTTTGCAATACACATCTGAAACATCCATTGCAGCTGCTTCGAAATCGTAGTCAAATTTTAATCGAATGCAGTAAATACGTTATGATATTGCGATCTAAACGATCGTCCCTAAAAATTATCTTCTTACAGGCGTTCCTGAGTAATTGTTCGGCTTATCTGACATTGAATTCATACTTTTTTTGCGGAATCGGGAAAATTACGAGTTCTGTGTGCCTGTGACCCGACGAACGAAAGTGAATCGAAACTAGAATTGTACTCTCTGGATGGAAGTGATTTAACTATAGGACGATAAAAGCAGTTGGTATCGAGTCGAACAAGTAAAAGTAGTTACGCGATTGGTTTATTTTTCCAGGACTGTTAGGGTGCGGATGTCGATTGTCCGACGAGGGGCTCTCGCCGGTGAAAGGGTTGATTGATGCTGACTCGGCGGCTTTTATCGCCACTTACACGGTACTCTATATTTCATTTATGTTCTGCCCGCGATTCTAAACGAAGCTAATTCCATCCAGTCTGTGCTCCGACGTGGCTCTATCTGCGAAGTCCTTTCTAGAGTCGCACAAAAAACAACTCCGAATCTAAATAAATTCGTTTTCGTTCCAGATACCTTGCGATTGACGTTCGAACGACCAATACTCGAATTGAAAAGGTACGTAACAATCAAGGACAATTACGAAAAAATATACGCATATAATATAGTACAATGCTATGTTTTTCTAGCCGGAAGTCAGCACCGACGAATTCAATTCCGGCGAAATCAACGCGAACGAATTAACTGCGACGAAATCAACTTCGACAGAATCAACTTGGAGAAAATTAATTTCGATAAAATCATCTTGGACAAAATCAACTTGAAGAAAATTAACTTGGAGAAAATTAACTTCGATAAAATCAACTTCGATAAAATCAATTTGGATAAAATCAACTTGGACAAAATCAACTTGAAAAAAATTAACTTGAACAAAATTAACTTGGACAAAATCAACTTGGTCAAAATCAACTTCGATAAAATCTACTTGACCAAAATTAACTTCGATAAAGTCAATTAGGACAAAATCAACTTCAACAAAATCAACTCGAACGAAATCGACTTCAACGAAATCGACCCGAGCAACGTCACCCCAACAAAAACAACTGAATAAAGAAGGTATGTTTCAGAGTCCCTGCGATTACTAGCACGCAATTTTGCAATCAGAAAACGTTTCTATCTCCGCCAGTCCGGTAATACCAAGGAACACCCAAGTCAGTTACTTCAATTTCCGCGGGTCAGCGTAAGTTCCAGTATTTTATCCGACTCCGGCGGCTCTCCTCGCGCTAATAAACACAGTTTCTTATCGGGCCGGTGCCCGGCCGCTTCGTCGCAGTAATTTCGAAAGCATTACAGTTTGCGAGCCCCGGACGCGTATATTGTCGTTTCGCGCCGGAGTTCTCCTCGGCCCGTAATTTAGACCGGCGTAGAGAGTCCGGCAACAGGGCCAGAAAACTTTCGATGGCATCCGGAGCAACAGTTCTAATGCCGAAAATTATGTGAACAGGGGGATGACGATAATAGCGTCGCCGGTGCTCCCGGGGTGTGGAGGCGCGCTTGGACGGTAATGGCGGACCAGGGGGATGAAACGGGTCGATACAAGCAAAGCCCTTGGAACTTCCAGCGACCGCCGTTCTCTCCGCCTATCGGAATCCATGGATCGCTCGAATACGCCCTCTGGAAGGGGTGCTTTCAATTCCACGCTGCCCCGTTGTGTATGTACGGTATTTTTCCGGGATTTTTCACAGTGGAATTACTGTACTGGAAGGGGATGATACGCGTTGGGTTGTTTCATAATCGGACTGCTGATTTTAGACATTCGTTCCGTGAATGGATAGCTGAGAACTATCGCGATAGGATGTTTAGAAGAATTAAAAAATGGCAATCTATTAAAATTAAAACTAGACAAATTAGAACTTTCTATTTGGATTCCATGTCTTGCGATCTGTGCAGAAAAATTCGCAGTTCAATGAATTATATAATTATTAGTCGACTGCACGTCATCAAGTCCTAAAATGCTAGAGAAAGATTAATTAATTGTGATCATATTTTTGTGTTTCACCGATCAAATGTATGAGAAGGAATTATTGTATCTACCTCTGCGTTTTTGTATGCCTTCAACGAAATTGCGATAATAATTTCAAGAACTGTAGAAACTGCTCCGACACGCATAAATCACGCGAATGAATTGCGAACAAAAGGCAACTGGTATAATTGCGAAATAAGCATTGATAAATTGGAGATACATATTTCGTTTCGGCATCGGCGAAGCCTTTATAAAATTCACATTTCCAACCAGCCTCGACTTATTGATCCCAGAGGGGAGATTATTTGCGTCTCGAGGGAGCAAATCAACGTCTACCTGCTCGTAAATAAGTGCTCGCAAGGATTCGTCTCGAATGTCAGTCGCAGAGAGTCGGCTTTCTGGGAAAAAAGTGTCCGACCAACTTCGGACAGCTCGTTAGCGAGACATTTTCTCATGGATTTTCTCGCGAGCATGCTACAAACACGTTCGCTGAACTAATGAAATAATCATTACATCAATCTTGAAGTCCTCGTAAGGTTTCTGTTAAAAATAATATTTTACTAGCATTAAACTTTTATAATTCATGATGCATTGGCTCAAGAAAGAATGATCTTCCCTTGATTTTTCTTGCTGTATTAATTATTCGATGACGCCCTAACCGAAATTCAATTAAAACGAGCACAATTAGATTTATTCGAAATGAGAAATCTCGTAAGAAATTGAAACGAACTTTTCGACGTATCGTATGTTTTATTTTGTGAAAACATCGATTAGCTTTATTGAGGAGGGTTTAGGTAAACCGTCAACGAAGTGCTCTGATGTGTTTTGACGCGGAGGTTAGGCCAACTCGAGCCTAGACACGCCCTAATACGAGTTAATCCCGATTTGCAAACAGAGGGGTGGATTCTAAGAGGATTATCACCTCCAGTTTCCAAGTTTAAGGAATCCTGTTTTGCTACCGCAATCGTATCCGTTTTAAATTTTCCTGGCAAAATGAAGCTACACAATATTTTGACTGACCGCAGCGGTATCGTCCCTCGAAATACAGAAGAGATGATGAGCCTAAGACGACAAATTATCCCCTTGTTGGCCTCTATATTAGCCGCTTAGCTTCCAAAAACGATTGCTGCGACTGACACTTTAGGGTTGACCTTGTCTTGCCTGGATTAGGAAACACCTCAGATTAGAGAATAACACCTTAAACAATCCGGGTGCTTTTAGCTGTTAGATAAATAGCTTATATAGCTATAGCTTTTAGCTAAGATAATAGATTGCGATTTTTCTGCATTTATAAGAAATGTGGTTATCAAACGCAAAACAGTGAAAACGTTTAAACGTTTAATCAATTTAAGTTGATACCGTTCCACTATTTCCAGCTCAATCGAATGATTAAGGAATGAAGAAAATGTGTACGTAACTCCTGTGTCTTTTAATTAACGCCAGGCAATTTGTAATTTACATAAAAATCCGCATCGATTGTGGCACAATCCTCTGCTATTATTTAAAAGAAAATGATCACGATAACAGCAGCTTGTCGTTTCATCCTTTATTAACAGCGCAGCTTGAACTTCTTTCAATTTCTCTCCGGCAACAGTATCGATTGTGCAGATTCTCCTGCGCGATTACGCATTTTCTATTTTTAGCCGCGGGTAGAGGAAATATTTGCGAGAAATGATTATGTGGAACGCGCGCCGGCTAATTACGAGCGTGATGAACAGAACCTGTGGCTCGGCTAACTGCAACCCCGCGATGATTTCAGGTAAACATCAACGGAACAGGATGACCAAGTAACCTGGAAACGCAAGGTACATCGACATCGTCAGCGCTCAAATAAAAGGAGCTGTACCGCTAAGGAATAAGAAGAGAAAGAGGACGAAGGAGAACACGACCTTGCTAGCATTCAGCTGTGTCATCCGTGAGCCGTTAACGCTCAGGTGCCTTCGATCCCAGGGACGAGCATCAATCACTATCGGCTGCGCAGGTGTAATATGATTATTGTCGCTAAAGATAACCCGCTATGATATGCACCCAGGAAGTGTGCCAAGTGACATAACAGGATTTATCTTTAATGGTGTATCGGAGACGTCGAACCCCGACAGTCGAATACTAGTGCCGCTTGTCACAGATCCTTCTTCTGCATCGTCGAAAAGTTTCATCCGTGAATCGCTTCAGTCGTCCGGCATTTTCTTGGAACATAAAGTACGAGGCCATAATCGTTGCCATCAGCATTGTACAGATTCTTCACATCGTTTTCTGCGATTTTATTTGCACATTTTACTATCACATTTTGCTATCGTTGTTTCGTACAGATGTTAGGCTCAACGAATATAATATTGTATTTCATGAAAGCATTTATATTGCACCCAGCTTTCATATTCGTTGCTAAACGAACGGCGACAAGAGGGATTCGTGAACAGTTGTTCGTTCGAAACGTACCGTGCGAAACGTTCGCGGCTTAATAAGCGTGAAAGAAAAGTCGGAAAGGAAGCAGAGAAAAAGCGTGAGAATTATTCATAGGCTTTTTACGCGCACGAAGAAAGTTTCGTTTCGCGACACGCAGAAATAGATGCCTCCCTGTTCCCTTCGCGAGTGACTCGGCAGAACCGGTCTATTTTCGAATGACTCGGCGATTCGAGGTCCCTCCTGATCTGGGCTAGTGAGAGCGCCAATTTTAACTGTTTATTGTTTATCGGATACAATGGACGTGCTCCGGGCGTCAACAAAATACGCGCGTTATAACATTGTTTCGTGAAAATATGCGACATTTTCTCTTCAGCAATTTTTATCGCGAACTTGCAACTAGGATTTTCTGACAAATTATCTGACAGCAACGTTAACCGTGTGCCAATATTTATAAATATCTATACTATGCAACCAAAGATTTCTTAGCAAATTTGTCAATAGCAACAGTAACTTCAATCGTGTACTAATATTTACAACAATCTATAATCTTCAACTGAAGATTTCCTAGCAAATTGGACAGCAAGAATTTGCTTCATGATTTTTTCAAAGCATCAGTATTTTATTATATTTCTGAACAATTCGTATAAAAATTGCGATCATTATTTCTTGCAACGATGTTGGAAGTCCAGATATTAATTGGAGACAATTTTCAGGTACGCAGACGGGAAGGACATGAAATGGCGAGCCATCGTCGTCTGATACCGGGCCAACGAAGTTCCACGTGCTTGAAAACCAAGAAACTGGTCGATTATGTCATAAGTTCTGTGTGCCGATAGGAGAAGGCCCCCGTTAATGCTCTACATCTACCCTGTAGATCCGAATTTGTTTGATAAGAGGCGACAAATTCGGTTCTAGAGAGGTTTGTGTGGTGCATACAGAGCTACAGTGGTCTGGAAACCTCGTTTCACCCTTTCGCGTGCACAATCTAACCTTAACATTAGAATCACTTCGACTCTCAAGCATCCTAAACAGTCGTTGCCCTTGCTAAATAATTAACGACGCATCGGCTGCGCCGATTTAACAAATCCATTCAGCTTGTACAACTCTACGCCTCGCAAATAATTTTCTATTGTTAGACAAACAAAATGGAATGTCGGGATATAGCCACAGGTCAACTGAAATTAATTGCTACGAGCTACCGAGAATGTAAAATACTGGAAAGATCGTTCGTAGTCGTGACATTTTCATCCGATCGTGACTATTGTCATGTAAATTTCTTCGCTGCAGCTTTATGTCATTAACTCCTCACTCGTCGTGGAATTATCTTCGAAAAGAACGGAGAGGAACGATTTTCGCGAAAGGTTCGAATACCAATTAACGACGTTTGCTTGTTGTTCGAATGTTTGCGAGATTACGCAGGATAATCGCGCGGAGGATTCGCGAAGCGCGTCACGCGGCCCCGTCAGGGGCCCCGACAAAAACGTCATTGTTAATTGCCGCGCGCAATTATTCTTCGCGGTTGACGCCGGCTCGCCGTGTTCCGCGGTTTCGTCGATCGTTTTTCAGGATACGCGTTATGACTAAGCGTTCGCGCGATCCGATCCCGTGGAAAAAAAATGTGTTAAAGGTGATAAGGGATTAATGATCGTCATTAATACCGCGAGAGGGGCGGGGGGAGAGCAACGATGAACCCGTGTTGCGAGTCGCGCGACCCGCTGCACCGCGTTGCGCCGCGCACACCTTGCATTACCTTGCACATTCCTCTCACGAGCCGCGCGGTCGGCCTTAAAGTTTAATTGCGAATTACAAATTGATTGTTCCTGCGCCCGGCGCTTCAACCGGCAGCAGTAAATGATTGATCCGACGCGGGAAACCGGGCTGTGCGGCGTTAGTTGAAATTGAATTAACACGTCCGCTACCTGTGGGAAGCCCGCGTCTCCTCCTGACGGAAATGGATGCGCTGCAATGCGGTTGCAGTGCAACGCTCGAGAAATCAGCGATCCGCTCTTCTGTCGGACTTACTGCGTAGCTATGTAAAGTATACACGTTTGTGCGTTTTGCATTGTGTTCGACTATTTTTGGCATTTGGGAAACGAAGTTTGATCGTGCAAAGTGTAGAGCACGATTTGGCGCGATAAGTTGTGCTAGGCATCGTTTGTGAAATGAAGTTTGGAAACGTGTGAGAGGATCATTCTTATAAATATAATCAGCTGGGGAAATCTGTGCACAAATTCGACGATGCTAAATATAAGTCGCAATTTGGCGTTATGTTAATATCTTTTGCAATACGATTCTTGAGAAACGTATAAGGATTATACTTTGAAATATATTCGCCCGGGACGATGTGCACAAAAACGAAGTTCGATGATGCAAAATATAAACAACGTATAGTCTCTTTTGTGAAACGATTTTTATGACGGTTGTATCTTTGAAAATATTCGTCTGGAAAAATTTGCACGCACAATAAAATAGAGAAGTCGTTATTTTGTCCATTATCAGCTAACATTGACGATTTTAATGACTGTATAATGTTTCTTAAAAAACCGTGCATTCGTAGACAGAGAAAAAGAAAGTTCCTCGTAAAATCAAGCATACAGAGCAACAACGATAAAGACACGACGATAAAGACACGAAAAAGATAAGAGCTTGAAGCACGATGCTAAAGATTTACAATAAACTTGTCAATCTTCGTTTCCAAATGCAAAAGTCCACCGCCATAAAAATCTCTATTGTTACAAAACAGTTGAATCGAGTTGATCGTAATTTAACAAATTCGATGTACCGAAAACGATCGAAAACCGTCCGGAAATTAATGTCGAAATCCAGTCACCGATTTGCAACACTTTTCGGTAGATCCGCAGGAAGTTTCTCCGCAAGAAACCGTAGTCCTAAGCCGATTACGCTTCCCAGGGGCGTAGTAAGAACGGAGCGCGGGGTCCAGGGCGCCGTGGAATGGCCGTCGGTCCGGCGTTTCATCTTTTTTAATTCGAACCTATCCTTTTATTCACGGTCGATCACTGGTCTCTCCGGCGTCTTTGACGCGAGCACGCGGGTTTCCTCGGATCCTTCTGTAACAGCCGCGTCCCGTCCATTAATCTTTGATCGTGCTCACATTAAAATGACACGCCGGCCGTTACGCAACCGCCTGGTAAGTGCTAATGAAGTGCATACAGCTCCGTAATTACCATTCGAGCGGCCTGCCCACTTTTCACGTGCGCGCGGTAATCGAACAGAGAGGAAAAGGAAAAAAAAGGGTGGTTTCATAACGTGTGTCGATTGGAAAAAGCTGTCCGCGGAAAAAGACCCGCGAGTCGCATCGAAAAAGTCGCACAAATTGATCCGCAATCATTCAACCGAGTGTCCGGCACTTTGGAGATTTCTAAAAAAAGAATCTCTCGCTCCGTTTTGTATTTTAAGAGTTTCCTGTGAAATAGTAAATAAGCGACTATATCTTGCGTCGCCTTTTAAAAAGTATCCAGCGTTTGTTTATGCATATTTAGTAACACGTACCTATAACGATACACGTCCGAGGGAATAAATTCGGCGAATAATTCTCCAGAGATGTGCAAAACTCGGTAAACGTAAATTAAGAAAGTTCTAGGTATAGTTCCAGCGTTAAAAAGTGCTCGCGAGACTTTTAATAAAAAGAAGTCGTTGTCCTCATTTTGTATCGGCCTGACGAGACTACCACAGTCCAAAGATTGATTACAAGGAATTTTCTTTAAACGATTCCGCGCTCGATAAATTCCCAGTGCGGATGTGTTAGTGTTATTTAATATTCTCTTTAGCTACCTGCTTCGTTCCACAAAGTGTATCCCAGTCGTTTACGCCGGGGGAAAAGCCGACGTCACGAAAGAAATTGATTATTTGTGGCCGTCGAAGACCGTGCTCGCTGATACGCCGCTGAATTATAATTATCGCTTAATTGAATCGCGGTTAATTTGTTCCCTTATCGCGGGAACACCGCGGTATCGCGCGCGGCGATCAATAAAGCTCATTAACTCATCGGTGACAAGTAACTATCTAATCGCCGCTTGTAATCGCGACACATTACACACATCGGCGGGGGCCGCGGAGGGGGAGCAGAAGCGAGGAAAAAAAATGAACGACGATGCCTGGGAAATCTGCAATTCAGAACAAATGTGTCCGACCGGAGATGTGCCGGCAGAGACGACTGCACAGGCGCGCGCGCGAAAGAGAGAGAGAGAGAGAGTGACGATACTTATTAATATGCAGAAAGAAGGATGTGCTTCGCAACATTGATTCCTACCATTCTCCTGCGCGTCAATCACTTGCGGTTTCTTGCTATTTACGCGGTGCTAAATACATCGATTCTACTTTTATTCGTATTTCTTTTTAATTCCTAGGCTACGCGCAGAAAAAATCGACGCGTTCGTTGCAGAGATCGATGATGCCAAGGGCCATTGCCAGAAACACAAATTAATTATCGCGACATTAATTCCAGCAAGCTTGAATCTTCCAGTACTAAAATTAATTAATGACGTAATTGATTACTTGATCTTCTTTTTAGCATAGTTTCCTTTCAGACTTCATTAAGTAATT